GACATTCTGCATTTTGGAGCTACGCTCCCTGACTCACGAGCATTACTTTTTCACAAGACAGACAAGCTCTCACGCTCTCTGTGGGTCGGGGAAAAGGGGAAGAAAAAACACTGCCTGTTTTAATCCCTCTACATTGGCCACCATGTATAAATGCATAAGTCCACCCAAAGCCATCTACGCTTCCTTTCGTTCTATCCCTCGGAATCCTTTTGCCCTGGGGTTTTCCTTCTTGTTCAGACCCCACGGGTAAGACGTCCAGGCGTGGGCAGCGCTGGCATCACTCTGAGCCCACTGACGTCAGTGCTAAAATTCCCACTGCCCCGGGAGGGTCAGCATCAGGCCAGCGCTGAATGCTTTTGCATCTTCGTCGCTGCGCCTCTCCAGAGGTCCCGTGGTCCAAACCGCCTGAGAAAAGTCCTCCCCTCGCTCTCGGCCTCCCCGCCTCCTCTCCAGCTGCTTCTCCACCCAGCCTGCTGCACACACCCAGAAGCCAGGGGTGGGCACCGCCTGGGAGAGGACCTGCTGATCCTGGTGGGGCCACGGCCCTACCAGGCTGTGGCAGGTGCACGCACCCTGACAAGGACTGGGGGCATTAAGACCGCTGCGTCCTTACTTTTCGCACCCTTAATTTTGTGCCTTTAAGGTGGCAAGTGCTGACCGTCACGTACACACCTTGGGCCAGTCATGATGGTCATGTATACACCTCGGGCGAGGAATAAGCAAGTCAAGGCCCTCAGCCAATTAGAAAGTGACCACAGGTCAGCTTCGACTAGGGTATAAATGGAGCCCCGCCAAAGGGCAAGTTGAGCCAGTCCTCCTCGGAGCAGCGGGCCTGCAGTCGGGGACGCACCCCTAGGGTTGGGACACCTCCCAAGGAAAGTGCTTGAGGTTAAGAGCCCTCATCTCACAGGTGAGTGACTGTGTACATTTTGGATCCTCATTTCTAAAGCCAGCTGTGCAGAATTATTCCCTCGTACACCATCCTGGACATGTGGTTTACTGATGTTGTCGGACTGCTGATGCCTCATTTCTAGTTAGTTTTCTCATAAACAATTTTGGTCAAAATAAAGTTTATTTTTGAATCTATCACCGGCTTAATTTGATTACATGAGCCTCCGTGACATTAAATTGGCATAGTCGGCTGGATGGTTTCAGTAGTGTACTTATTACGGAGGCACAGATGTAGCCCTTCTCCCCAGGTATAAAATGGGCGAAGGAGAAGTGGTTCGACCCAGCAGCAGGCGCAGAGAGAGTAGAACAATGCCACGGGAATAATCGAAACGGTAAAAGTGAAGGGACCATGTGTGCCGTCCTAGATGCCTGTGTAATTCAAGCACGAGATCATTACAATTATTCCGGAATATTAGAACAGAGCAATTTAAAGAAGCAGTTAGAAACCCATTGTTTAAAAGGAGAATTGGAAAGAGAAAGAGAACGGACGCATCTGTTAGAACAAAAAATGGAGCTCATGCTAGCACAAGCGAAAAGACCCCCCAGTGTTGTCCAAATCCGAAAAGTAATTGTGGGCGCAGATCCTGAGGATTGGGATGGGGACATCTGGGGAGACCCTGAGGAAAATAGTCTGAGGAAACAGAGGAATTGGAGGGAAAAGCAGTGCGACCTCTTATTAAAACAGAGAGGCATACGGGTCCGTGGGGCAGGAACCCCCAAACCACTGTCCGTACCTCCCCCTGGACGGGACCTGAGCTCAGTGAATTACAAGCCAGGTTTTCGCATAGACCAGGATAAACAGAAACTGCGTATCTGTGGCGTGTCTCTTTAACGGGGGAGATATCGGATACTGTTGAGTGAGGACGAGGCTAGGGGATTTTGGGGCCCCAGAGTGTTTCTGGGTGAGGGGCCAGCAGGCAACCAGTCGATCACGTCCCGAGTGGCTTATTGGGCTGGGGGTGTGGACCCCAAAGAGCGAGGGGAGCCTGTTGCCATCCGAGAAAAGGACTGGTTAGCGGAAGGAGTACCAAAGGCTGCTTGTATCCAGGCAATGTATGAGAGGGGGCGGCAAAGGGTACCAATGGCTGCACCGGTGGACACCAGCCACCTTAGACCTCTCATTAGAGGGTTACCGGACGCCTTAAAAATACGTGTTCAGTCTCTTGGAGAAAGGATCCAGAGGACCATAGAACACAATCGGCAAAACCCTCAGAATCCGCCCGCACATGTGCTGACCTGGGCGGAGATGTTACACGATGTAGTCACTGACGGGCGTGAGATGGGATGGACCGATCCAGGCAGTGGCACGGACGGGAATAGGAGGGTTCAACAAGCCAGCCAAAACCCCCACCCCAGATGGCCTCCCCACATGGAGCCCGCACCTTCCCAAGATAGACCGGATTGAGCCCACGATCTGGGAGGGAACGACCTTTGGCAAAAAGCATTAGCGCTGGGAGTACCCTGGGCGATGCTGCACAGGCAGCCCACCGACCACATCCAGAAACTGGTGGAATTGCTCGAGGGGAAAACCAAAGATCAAGGGAAAACAAGGGCAACCACCCTCCCTCACAACAGCACAGACACAATTAACCTTTTCGCGTCCCTGTGAGGGGAACTGGATGAGTTAAAAAACTAGAAGACGCAGTTTGGGGTTCGGGCCGCCCACTCCGCATGGTGAATTCCTGCCAATGGTCCGCTGACAAGGAACCTTACATACAGATCCACGTGGGTCCGAAGCGACACCATCAAGAAAGACTATAAACATAATAGGGGTGACAGGTGCAGCAGAAAAATGTCCCATGACTTGGACTCAATTTTGGCTACCTGGAGAAAAGCAGATGATGGCCATGGAAGTGGCTCTAAGCCTTTATAAGGGAAATATATTGGGATTTGATGTATTAGTGGGCAAGTGATGGTATTTACCTAACGGCAAGGTGTGGAGTTTTGGAGGCAGAGGAGCAGAAGCTGTCCATGTTAGGACCCTGCAGCTTGCTCCCGCACTACCGCAATCTAAAGTAACCTGCATTTCCTGCTACCTGCTACCAACCGCAGCTAAACAGGGCATTTCAGAGGTAATCTCGAGAAGAGAGAAGACACAGATCATAAGTCGCACATAATCCCCCTATACTTCTCCA